TTCAATGATTGTATTATCATTCCTAATTATACAATATAACTGTTCCACATTTTTAACGATATTTCTACAATTACTTCTTCTGCGGCAGCAATGCGCAAGCTAGTAAGATAATATAAAAAAATATAAACTTTGAATTAAATAGTTATCAGTTATTTACAACGTCATTTTCGAAATTAAAATTACAATATTAAAAAAATAAGTGAAATTATCAATTACCGAGCCCGATATGTGAATGGAGTCAGGGAAAAACGAGCACTTGGAAGCATCAAGTGGTGCAGCCTCACCAAAATTGCGAAAGACAGTCGAGTGGCGCATCGCCAATCGCCATAGCAACACTCCTCTTCCCTACGACTCCATCGCGACTACAGCAGTACAGGGAGAGGAATCTCCTCCAGCCGCAGCCCACTAACACACGTCCAACGTGGCTCGACATCATCAGGCGACCTTTAGACACTTGGCTACGGCCCTCGAGTTTGGTGGAAAATGAGGAAATAAGAAATAAAAAAACATTCGAAACAATAATCTAATACTTAGTACTTGGTAGTGCTTGGTACTGTTACTACCAGAAAATATTGTCGGTATACTGCACTTTTTCAAAGTGGTGCAGTTCTCATGTCTAATAAAACAGTCGTCTGTGAAATGTTTGGAACAAATATGATCATTTTGTTTCAGACGCCAATTCACAATATTTATGATTTTAAGCCATAATTTTAGTCTAGGTTCAGTTCGAAACCTGTTAATAAACATTTGATAATCATCTGTTGTTGGTGACTTTGTTTGTTAACAGATATGGGTAGGAAAGAACATCGATAAGTATTATAGACAAGGAACTCGACAGCCCTATTGAATTTTATTGTTTATCAAAACTCGGTAATATACAGCCAAATATGTTTGTATATATGATATTAAGATTAGTAACAAATTTCTAAGTACTTATATTATCAAATAGTTTTAATTTGTTTAATATTTACTGCAAATTCACTTACTTGTGAAATATTATACCACTTCCCTTTTGGTTACGAGTTTTACAGGTTACGCACCCTCTCATTATTAATAAAAATAATTCTTATTATGTAACTAATATTATACACAATGAAACAACATAAAATACTTTCGTTTTTTAGTTCAAAAGTTCAAAATATAGACTTATTAAATATGACAATATGAATAAGACAACATACTTTGGCATATTATGTCAATTTTATTTTTCAAGACATTCTTTAGCGGCGCTTCATATTGGCACAGTCATTTTGTATGGTATAGCCAGTCCAGCGTACTTGTATATTATATGGAGGTCAGTGGTCTAACCGGTTCGGCAGATTCCGGTTTGGTTTGTAGTTTTTATTTAGATTTTATGATAAAATATTACAAAAAAGTAGTAAATTTTTCTATTATTGGTATGTTATTACAGGCTTCCGAGAGATCCTCGTAGGAGGAAAACTTGGATTGCAGCTTGTAGATACTATAAATCTTAGATACCTAAACAGACTAGCACCATTTCCTCCAAACATTTTGAAAAATCATATTTCATACCCCAAGCTAACAATAAAAGAAGGTTAGCCGACACTGCAGTACCAACCTTGAACTTGTGGGAGGTAATATTTGGCTGTAATTATATTTAGATTAAATATTTTTATTATTACCTTTCACACCAATATTAATCTACTTGAAAATATTTTAGAATTTCGATAAGTTTACATAGTTATAGTCGGAATCTTCTGACTTACATAAGAAAATTATTTATTTTAGGCTGATCGTAGTGATTGCACAACATCGTTTACATCGAAAAAATAGTTTTCAAGAAATCCTAGATTCGCTGACAGAGACATATTTGATAAATTAAATAAGTAAAATAAGACTGGAAGATTTAATAAATAAAATAAGACTGGAAAACTGCCCAGAACTATATATTCCCCAGAGTTAAGATCTTTTGCCCTAACACTTAATTATTACCCACCAAAAGCCTATCGCTATATACGTAAAAATTTTTGAACATGTTTGCCTGCACTATGGACATTGACTAAGTGGTACAGTACCATCATCGGCCGATCAAGGTTTACTCAAGAAGCGCTGACGGCATTAAAATTGAGAGCGGAGAGTAAGCCTGATAAAAAAATTATTGTACCTTGATTACGGATGAAATGAAAATTAAGTAATTGACGGAATACCATGCTAGCAGCCAAAGACATTATGGCTATGTCGATTACTGGTTTGATTTTATATCTAGTAATTCCGATGAAGCTACTGAGCCATTAGTGTTTTTATTGGTCGGTATAAACACAACATGAAATGTATCCACAGCCAGCTTTTTGATTAAGAGTACGAGCGCTGAATTAAAAGCACGGCTAGTAACACGATTCTATCTTGTTCTCAAAACTGGTATCGAAATGAAGGCGTTGACATGTGATGGTACAAAAACAAAAACAGAAGAGTTGGGCTGCTTTTAGGTCAGCACTTGTACCCTTTACTAAGAAGTGCCCAATGGGTACTTTACAAGAAGTACTAATACCCATTAATAAAAATGCTAATGTATCAGTATCCTTCTTCGAATTGTCAAAAATGAAGTCAAATCCATAATTATCATAACCAAAATATCCTTTAGAACTTGCATGGTACTCCGTCAATTGTTTTATTTTCATTTCATCTATCACTAATATACAATACAATTTCTTGTCAGGGTTACTCTGTAGTGTATGTTTTAAGACAGTTAACGCTTTTTTTGTGTAGCAAAGTCGGCCATCAATTGTACCATACCACTTTGTTATATTACGTGATGAAAGGAGACAAATTTTAAAACTTTTGATATTTCACACATATCGTTAAGCTTTCGGTGAATAATTATGTAAAGTTAAAGCAAAATATCTTTATGTGGAATACTTAGCCCTATGTAGTTGTCATGTTTTATTTTTACGCAGCTGACTGTTTAATGTTTACTTTGTTTAACTATTATATTTTTAAAACTACTTTATTTTTCTAATTAATTAAATATTTTTCATATAGTGCATTTAATAACTCTTGAAAATCAACAACGTTTTTTAAATCGCGGTTTTGTGATTGAAGCCTTATAATAAAACAAAAACTTGGTTAACACCATCTTAGATGATAAAGTAATATGATTTTTCTTTTTACAGATCTGATTTTTAAAATAAGTTAACTAAACCTCCTATTTCGATTTTTTACATGTTTTAAATGTTATCCCGCATAATGTAAAATAAACCTGTGGCAAAATAATAAACTTACTTTCAATAATTTCAAAGTTTTTCTCCGTAGATCATTTTTAAATATATAAAAAAAGAGTTTTAAATAACATCTTGGTATAATTTATCTATGTATTACATATTATCAAATAAAAACGTATGCGGACTATGGTGATTTTTTATCGATAAAATTATTGACATAGTCCACGCCCCACGTTGCTTCCGCATGTGGACAGCGGTAACAGTGTATCGAAACGTGTACAATTTGATGGTATGCGTAAATGCAATGAACACAAATTCTGTAGTGTGCGTTTATAGTAACGCGATTTAATTTTGCATTTGTAGTTAAATATACTGTTATGTGTTTCTCTTGCGCCCCTGATGTTGACAGATTTTTTTTATAGTATAGGATGACAAACGAGCACACAGTCCACCTGGTGGGAGGTGGATGCTGTGATGACCCATAGACATCTACATCTATCCTCGATTACGAATCAAAATGCAGATGCGTTGTATGTGAGGACTTAGGTGGATTGCCTCGTTTAATAGGTCTCCGGTTCTCTACACCCACCATACGAAACACAGCAGCATTAAGCTACTATTTGATGCTGGTATTCTGTGAGAGCATGGTCCTTCCCCGGTCTGGTCGGCCCATTTGTGCTACAACTATACTACTAATATAACTGCTGCATAGCTCTACCACGTAAAAAAGTTTTAAGTAAATTTTTAGGAATTAACGCGCATGGCCCCTCCACTTGGTTGAATACAAAGGCTTTCACTGATTTAATATCCGTTGACAAACTCTTGTTCAAGATTATAAAAAGTATGTACTGCATATTTTTAGAGCGAAGAATAAAAAGAATTATTAAAAATATATATATTTTGCGTTACTATAATTTCAGTATACTTTGTTTTACAAAACTTTTGTAGATATTTTTTTAGTACTTTTGTATAAGGAATGTGACCTCTTATTGAGTGTCGTTTTTAATGGGTGAAACTATAGTACTTCTTATTAGTTTGCGGGTAAAATGTAAATAAAAAGGTCATGTGTTAGCAACACTGATATTGTGCGGTACTCACTGTAATTTTTAAGCTGTGGATAAGAAATTAGAAGCGATATATCATGTGTAAACCTGGATTCTATAGTTAAAATAAAATCTATTTATTAATGGACTAAAAAATATTAAATTTTTAGCATATTTTTTTCTCTATAAACTAAAAAAAAGGGAAAGTGAATTAACTAAGTATACTCGTATTAGTTTGTGAACTAGCTATGTCAATCTGGCAATACAAGATAAAATTTTGACTTTCTGTATATATTATTCTACTCTATGTCTATGATTTCGACTAAAGAACTTTGTATCCGTGGTATGTAATAAATTAAAAAAAAACTGTGGCATTGTTGGTTTTCTGTGCATGATATCATGATAAGTTTTTCATATTTGCACAGAGTACGTTACATATATTTGTTCGTTCACACTAACCGAAATATTTCAAACGTTGTGCTTTTTTACCGTTTAGATTTAACTATTTTCAATTAGTCAATTGATTTGAATTTAAAATAAACCTACCTACATCTGTTATTTATTTAGCTATCAATAGAGTTCCGTAGTGAAATAAATTTCAAACGTTTCAGTGTGAAGTGTGTAGCTAGCTCGATATAACTGTCAATCTGGATGTAGAAATTTATTTGTAATTTTCACCGGTTTTCATGTGTAATTTCTGAATGTGTTAAACTGTTTTTAACAATAGCTAGTTTTATAATAATGAAAAAGTGTATCTAGTGCATAAAGCGGTGCAAATATGGATGACGGTACAGTAAATATCCAGTCTGGAATTAACATCAACATAAAAAGAACAGATGGTAAGTGCAATCATAATTTTGAAATTAAATGAATAGCAAAATTATTGTTTCTGTTAGATGAATTCTCAAGTTTTTTTGCTGTAATCCACCTCGAGGTGTTTTCCTAGGTGCCCAGTTCACCTATGATTCACATTGTGAGATTAAACGTGAATCAATTCGGCTTTTGAAGATAATTCTCTTGTCTTATCTTTTAAATATATATGTATTTTTCTGAGGTATTTTAAGCACTAAAATAGTTGCAAGACCAATTATATTAATTTTATTTTTAACAAATTGCTATAAATGTTTGACAAATTTCCATGGCAATGTCTTAATATTTTTTAATATATGGAATGTTTTACTTAAATATTTCGTTATGTAATTACTATTTTAATATTTAAAAACGATGCAGTTACCTATTGAAGTTTTAGTTATTCTTATTACAACAGTGATGTTTTATGGTCATAGTAGGTTTTGTGTTTCTATTGCTCAGTGAGTCCTGTACATCATAGTGATTTTTCCTAATAGTAGTAGAAAAGAAATTTTGCATAGTTATGAATTATGATTATTAAGCGGGCTACATACGACATGATATCGGTGGCGATCTAGGGTGGGGTAGTGGGGATGCCTGTTAGATTGCCTCTAAATCGTGTTGTATGTCGGGCCATCCTAAGTCGTGGCCGATATCGCCTCCTTAATTGGCTGGCAGGAGCAAAAATGCAGCTGATGCTTCTTAGATCGGGGCCCCACCCCCTCCTTACTGCGTGTGTGTAGGCGCATCGGCCCGATTTCTTTTGGCAGTCGCTGCAGGCAGCCCTCGCGGAAGTAAGTTAACAAAACAGTGATACTGAATGACCTTTTTTATATAACAAAATTTTTACATTTTAATCATGTAAACGGAGTAGAAGCCTATGGCACTGATATTTTACAAAAAACCAAAAAAGTGAATAAAATAAATAAATTAATTGAAATTCTATCGAAATTCAAATCATATCCACCCTAGTCTGTGACCCTGTGAAGTGACATGGTCAAGAATGCCTACTAAACTAATTGTTTTATTGCCGTTCGTAAAGTAGGGTGTATGAAGTAAGTAAGGAGAAGTTAAAGCCTCTCCTCAACAACTAACTCCTATTCCAACGCTATCAACACAAGACCACAGTCAGATTTCTTATGTGCCTTCATCCTCTCATCAACTACTAACTCTTATTCCTACACCATCTCCACATCAACAAACAAGCTATATAAAAGGGAGTATGTCCGAAATTAAAGGTTTCTTTATGTTTAAAAAAAAGATACAAGCTATGTTATATATATATATATATATATATATATATATATATATATATATATATATCTATATATATATAGAGATATTGTTTTAGTCCATAAATAAAGATTACATTAAAAAAAATAAAAGTATACAGATTATTATACAAAAGTATTTTATATTTCTGTATACTTATACTGCTGAAGCAGTACATAACTTTGACTAAAGCAGAAATGAACAAAGAGAAAAAATAACTAAATAGCATAGGTAGGAGAAATTGATGTTTTTATATAAGTGGCGAAATCATTTCTAGAAGGTTGTAAAAACTGTCTTCATCCATCTGGAGAAAATTAATCACGTCTTTGGATTACAGACCATTTAGTATGTTTATGTGGCTTAATTTTTGTCTCTTTTGGAGCCATTTTTCACCCAGCAACTCCTCTTTTTCTATTTTCGAATAAATTAACCGAGAGGGCTAATGCCAAACCAACATGTTAGTGTTTTAAGAGAGTCGGAGGCATTTTAAAGAACTCTACCGCATATGCTTTCTGCTCCAAGTCCGAACGCGTACTGCTAGGCAGGCCAGTGTGTAGGGTCTGCCCCGATAAAAGCCCCGATCTCTTTCCACCCTAGATCGCCACCGATATTGTCTCGTATGTAGCCCGCTTTATTAGCCATATACCGCCACTAGTTTCAAAGTCCAGACTAAGAAAAAGTAAGAAGGTATTTTTTATTTTTAATAAATAATGTGCATACTCATGATTATTTTTATAAGTTTTCTTAGTTTCATTATTATTATATATTAATTATGTTTCATTATATTAGTTATATTATTATTTTAATAATTATAATTTATTTTTAATAGTTAAACTTATTTTGCCAATATTAAAAGTATATAACTATTCAACAATTATACTGAATTAATAAAAAAAACTATTTATCAGGTTGATTTTTCTTAGTTGTTAAGGCACACTCGAGTGGAGTCAGGATTCAAGTGACAGTGAAATTTACATAGAGTATAAATATATGTAGGCCAAGTGCACTGTGTTATTTCAAAATCTCATCAATCAGGTAATAAACAGTGTACATATTCTAATTTTTTTACATTTTATTATGTTGTTGTAGGATACTCTAATGAAAATATCAATAATGCTAAGAATTTTTATCGTTCCTGCTTAACACATGCCTTGCATGATTATATATTTAATATTAAAATTCTATAAAGTTCTTTTAATTGTTATATAATTAATTTTTAATTATAAATCATACATTAAACTTTTTATTTAGATTATTTAGCATACTTGGAATGTTGAATGGAAAAAACACATTTATTTTTACTTGATTGGTTTGTGAAAAAATAAAATAATAAACATGATTTAAATAATGAATGTGACCATACATGTGAAGTGCATTGAGTTACAGTACTTGTTCTTCTTTAAGGCAATGTTTGCAAGTATAGTGTTACTGTGTAGTTGCCTTTGCTGTGAAGTTGTGTTGTGAGTAAGAGCCAACTGTCAAAACTGAAGACTGAGTGTGGCAGCAAAGTTTCCGGAACACACAGATTCTGAGTGAGATTGAGAGGTTCTACAGGCAGCTGTACACATCATTGTTGGAGCCACACGCAAGTGTGAGTAATGATGCAAGAGTAAGTCGTAGCAGACACTATTCCGATGATATTCCGGACGTCAGTCAAGTCAGAAGCGAGATTAGAATGGCTCTCCAGCACCTTAAAAACGGCAAGTCCCCAGGTGAGGATGGAATTACAGCGGAGCTTCTGAAAGTGGGTGGAAAACCGGTACTTGAAGCCCTTCTGAAACTATAATTCCGTCCTCCATGGAGGCACTACTCCTGAGGCGTGGAGCAGAAGTGCGGTGGTCTTGTTCTTCAAGAAAGGTGACAACGCCCTCTTGAAGAACTACAGGCCGATATCCCTTCTGAGCCGCGTCTACGTGCTGTTTTCGAGAGTCATTATGAACTGCGCGCGGACTCGACGACTTCCAGCCTCCCGAACAAGCCGGTTTCCGAAAAGGCTTTTGTACCATAGACCACGTACATACCTTTTGGCAAATTTTACAGAAGTCTGAAGAGTACAATCTGCCACTTTGCCTGGCGTATGTGGACTATGAGAAAGCCTTTGATTCTGTCGAAATTTGGGCTGTGCTATAGTCTATTCAGCGGTGCCAAGTTGACTGTCGGTATATCGAAGTGCTGAAGTGTTTGTACAGTAGGGCTACAATGGCTATCCGAGTACAGAACCAGAGTACGAAACCTATGCAACTGCAGAGAGGTGTAAGACAGGGTGACGTTATTTCCCCGAAACTCTTCACTGCTGCATTGGAAGACGTTTTCAAGCTACTGGACTTGCCACCCACTTGCCAAACGTAACCGTGAGGTGAGGTATGAGGCAATATATGGGGGAGGCCTATGTTCAGCGGTGGATTTAAATAGGCTGTAATGGTAACAGTTGCAAATATAGTGTTATTTATCCTTGAGTTGCCAAAATATTTACTTGAATTTTTGGGGTAGTTATTTTCAGAGCTAGTAAGTAATATTTTTAAGAATAATAAATATGTATAAGAACAGTTTGCCTGCAATATCAAAATTTTAATATGCTTGGTTCAATATAATGGAATAGACTATATAATGATAGGTAGTGGAGTAAAAACAATGCTAGAAAACTTTCATAACTAGAAAGTAGTGTGGTGATTAAAGCAAATAATGTCCTCATAGTATAAAACAAAATCGCCTCTCTCCATCTGTATGCTTAGATCTTTTGAACTATGCAATGGATTTTGACGCAGTTATGATCAATAGACAGAATGATTCAAGGGGAAGGTTTATATGTATAATGAATGCAAATTTTTAATCATAACAATAATATTATTAATCACTCAACACTGACACCACATTAGTATCTATGTACATTGCACCCATGAGAAGCGGGGCTAGGTCTCTAGTCTTAATACATACGCTTGATTTTCATTCTCTTATGTGATAATCCTAGATGAGCAAATCGGTTTTTCTAATATTCTGAATCAAATTGATTCAAAATGACTAATTTTGGTTAGTTAGCCTACATAAACAACTAATTATTAGAAATGGGCCGAATGTAGACTGTAGATTTATTTACAATTATAGCAAATAGAAAGCATGATAAAATTTTGTTTGGAATCAAACAAAGAAACACTACATAATATTAGTACATTTAATTTTAATTTGGTCGTCATTTTCTCTAAAATAAGTCCAAATAGTACATCCTTTTTTTAACTCATTTTTATCATGTAATTTTCTAATTTCACTAAGAATAACACAACGAAATACTTTTTATTCACAAAAATAATCAAAACATAAGCATGTGCATGTGCCGGCAATTTGCTCAGTACTAGATAATGCAAAAAAATTATAATAAAATAACATGTGAGGTATGGCTTGGGTGCGAGGGGCAGGGTCCGGTACTAATCCCGCGCCCTTTACGGTAACAAGTTTCGACATAAATTGGTTAGGTACTGAGGTAATCCTGCCGAATAATGTTCGGCCGAATATTCGGTTCGGTAAAAATTTTACTGAACTTTCGGCTTTAGATAGATTAGTCTACATTTAGTCACTCCCAATCCGAGACTTTGTTCAGCAAAGACTCTACTTCAGACACAAGTTTGTCCCGGCACTCGGAGACGTTTTCTCGAGAAATATTGGCACGGCCCGTGTACAGACCATGACAAGTGCTGTCATCTGCATAGCAGTGAATGTTGCCGGT